CTTCAAAGAGGTACCTAGGCTTCGGGGTGTGTGACTTTGAGAGATGTATTTTTTGGTGCTTCGGGGAGTTGCTACAGCAGGGCCTCACCGCATGGAGCGACATGGTGAAGAATCTAACGAAAAACTGTCCCTCTCAATGCATCAGTGTCAATTCTACGAGTCTAAGGTTGAGTAGAGGATTTGGGTGGGATATGAGAGCTGACAGGCACCGCGGTGACCGGTTGAAAGGCTTAGGCATATTGAGGGTTTGAATTTTTTTGTAGGTGTAGAGTCTAGAGGATGCAGAGGGACGCCGGCTTTGAGGGGATGCGGACTTCCGAAATCGTGTATGAATCATTTCAGACACAGGGCCTCAAAGAAAGCATCTACACCTCAAACCTTAAGGCTGTTTGACATTGTTGATGGTTCGAACCCTTTCACACATGTAGAACCTTTCCGACTGAAGCTACCTGGAACCAGCAGCATACAGACTAACAGTCTGCACGCAGTCCCTGTGAGAACTCCCACCACCCCGATACCCCAGCTCGTCAGATCCTCATTGCGAAAGGTGCCTAGAAATTGACAAGTTCCACGGTTTCATGTACGAACCTACCGTAGCTCACTCTTTCCGATACACCCCGTGCAAGAAAGCTGTAAACAATAGACCTCTGAAACCCGTCGCACCAAAGGGGCATGAAGCTCAGGGTCCGCGCATCAAGGCGATAATTCAGCCTCGGCTGGTCTTTCGCGTCTTCCGGCCATTTTCATTAACGTGACCTTGTTCTCAGTACTATCACGAAGTCTGGCACTATCCGTGGTTCTACTGTTCTTGTCTTCTGCATAGTCTTTACACATACTGAGTGGCACAGGTTTCGAGAGGTCGAGAAGGACTCGGGGCTTCAGGCCCAGACTTTACAGGCTTAGGGTTCAGGGTGCAGCCTTCAGTTCCGGGCTGTGATTACCTGAAGTGGGCTCGCGATTCCCCCTTAACTGAGGCCCAAATGTAGCCTGAGTCCTCACCTCACAGCGGCATAGAAACAAGGACACCACCCAAAACAATCTTTGAAGAGGTGCGGGGGGGGGGGGGGGTTAAACTTTGGGGTGGTCATGGGAGCAACGAAACACGATGAGAATGAGCATGATGATCCGCCAAGCAATCTGTCTCAGAATGATGTCAACATCCACAATACACACAGCGACTGATAGCACAGATATGTTATCATGAGTAACTGAACATAGCGAGGGTAGTAAAAACAAGAGCATACAAGAGTGTCACATGAAAGAATCTGGAGGGTGCATTTAGGATTTGAGGTCCAGCCTGGCGTTGGTGCGGAAGTCTTTGATGTTAAGAACCTCACCCAAATCTGTTGCCCATGTAGGCCTGCTTCACTCCCAGTAGCGGGTTCAACACGGCGCCGCTCATCGGTATGCCAAAGTGCGCCTGCACACCGGTGAGAAGGGTTTCGATTTAGCCGATTTAGGGTCAGGAGCTTTGAGCAAATCCAAAGAACCCTCCAAGTAAGGTGGCCAGTGTGGCACCAAGAGAAATGCCGCGTTGGCACGAATACCTGTAGAATACATCTGCACTGCAGCAGTGCTTGATGGAACAGCAATAACATGAATCGCCGGGTGTGATACTGGCAACAAACTGAAACTGCAGATGCAGTGTGGATATCCAACACATTCTCAGCATTAAAGGTGATCCCAGTGGTGCGGGTGACGGCAACCGCTGTCGTCGTACCTGTCATCGTACGGACGAGCCACTACTGACTACCGACTCTTTGATACTCTGGAAACTTCTACAAACGAGAATGGTGACTGCGAGCAGAATCGAAATCGTAGGAACTGTAGTACTGTAGTCCTGTAGTACAACAATGCGGGTTGGACAGGGGGGAAGCTAGCCTCTTGCAACAAACGCTGCAGTTAGTATCAATCATCAAGCGTTTCATGATTTGGAGGCCGCTACCGTTGCAAGAGCAAGTTGACAACCATCCTGCACAAACATCAACAACAAGATGGAGCAACCCGCAACTCGTGGTGTTGCGGCTACAGAAAAACCGCCACGGAATTGTCACGAAGACAAGCGCATGAACACTTAAGGTGTTGAGGGTTCCAGGTTGAGGGCTCCCTTCACAAGCAAAACCATCTACCAAGGCAAAAGCGGTGGCGCCTCGATGTTCTCGGGGGAGTTGTTTAGCAACACCGCCACAGCCTTAGTCAAGCTCTCTCCTTGAAGGCTCGCAAGCACTTGGGGCTAGCTTCGCAACGTACCTCCGAAACCTATTCCGAATATGCTCTTCCGAACTTCCGGAACTTGAAGCCTTCGGAGTATCACAGGCAAGCGACCGGGTCCTGTGCCTGTGTGCCTGTACTCCATGCTGTAAAGACCCCCGCCGGCACAAGAACATCCCTTCAGGAAGCCTGGCAAGGAATGGGAAATGGAGCGCCAGCAGCTGGAAAAAACTCAAAACCTGTTCTTAGCCCAAGAGGCGTCGCCTCTCTTCACCCCCCGCGCTTTCAGAGCGGAGCAGAGGCGCCGGGATCGAGCGTAAAGCTCGGCCCAGGTTCTCCTGGAGCTTAGGGGCTTTGGGTCTTTTTGTGTCGAGGTTAAGATCTAGAACACGCTGTTCACCGGGATGTAGGGTTTTGGCTCTTAGGGATTCAGGCTCAGAGTTTAGGGCTAATTGGGCGTGGGGTTTGGGGAATTTTCGGGCCCGGCGGGGGCGGTCGGACATGAGCGCAAGAATGCGAAGGTTGGGCATCATCAGACCTTGCTGGGCTGGTGGGCGAAGTCTGCTATGGGCAAGGTCTGCGCCAAGTGTCAGTTTCCCTAGTTTTGCTTCTTGATGATCCAGCGCAGCGCTTTCGGCGAATACTGCCATTCCCACGATGTCCGAAACAAGGCCGAAATCGTGCCAAGCCTGATAAGCCACTAACAAGCATGATGGGTGCAAGTACTATAGCGTCTGAAGGCTCAGGGTATAGGGCTTTCGGGCGTCTCAATGTTCAGGGTTGTGGTCGTGGGTGGAGCTGTCAAATACGCACACAGGTATGCGTGCCCGTGTCATTGCTGTTTCGCGCGTCACAGGTTTGGCATGTCATCGATATCTGGAATCTAAGTGATCCTTGTTGTCGTTTCGGCAAGGATGGACGTGATTCTTTGTCGTAACGAGGGTTGCTACGACAGTGATGTCGACCGGCGCGAACATGAGGAAGAGGAAGAGGGTGGTGATGACAGAGACAATACCCTGATGAAACTTGAGCCTGAGTATGTAGTGCGACACCTCGAGGGGTCGATGCAGAGCCTGACAGAACGTACAACTGGCGAGCTCCTGATCGGGCCATGGATGATGGCGGTCCTGGTAAAAGCAGGTGGGCATGTGGCTTTCATTACGCGACCCAGACCTAACACGGGCCTTGAAGGAGAGTGAGAGCACACCATGGCACAAACACAGCTGAAGGGAAAACCATGCAAACAAGACCTAGACTCCAAAATCTTACATCTGAAATCTGCAGAGAAGTGGCTTTGCTCAAGGAGCTCTACCTGCGAATAACAACACGTTCCTTGCTGAGGTTGTTGTAGCCATGAGGCTGGAGGGCAAGCGAGCAGAGATGTCACAGACCATACACACTAAACCCGATATTGATCCCTAAACTCCCTACACCCGAGACCATAAGCCCCTGATAATCCGAATACAGGGAAAGACCGAAACATCCCTTGCAAAACCCTGAAACAGCCCTTAATCCTTGGGTCACCCTTAGATAGCCCGTTTTTAACATGCGAACCCCAAGATCGACCTCTCCGGGAAAACCTCTGCCGACCGCGAGAGGAAGTGCAAAGGAGTCAGCGACACAAAATTCCTGGAATCTTTTGCAGCTCATTGAAGTGTTTCGGGTACTCAGGGTTGGGATTTCGGGCTTCAGGATTCAAGGTGTAAGGTTTTGGTTCAGGGCGTAAGGTATAGGGACGTATACGGTGTAGATCTTCGGGTTCAGAGGATCGAGTTTTGGATTTGGGATTCTTCGCAGTGCAGAGCTTGGCTTTCGGGTTGATTGGAGGTGAAAAGTCAAAGGCTTACCGTGGAGATGGGCATGTACCGCTTTTGATAACCGTGGAGATTCGAGCTTCTTTTAAAAGTAGCGACCCCAAGCAGCAGAAATCGGCTCAACAGTTCCGAAGGTGCATGGTTTGCACTGTGGCCATTTCGTGGTCGGCATTTTTGCACATATTCTGAAAAATTCAGGCAGATCCCGCAGTGCTTCAAACTGTCCCAGGAAAGTCGACCTCGAACCAGGCATAAACGAGCTTTGACTTGATTGCAACTTGCAAGAGATTTAGACCCTGGCAGTTGTCGTCCTACGCACGGTTTAATATACTTTGACGAAGGTGGTGGAGAAACTCCACCACACTGCCACTCTCTGGGTCTTGCAACGCAAATTCACTCCAGCTTCCGAACCACAGGCGTGCCTGCAAAGGGAAGAAATCATCTCAGGTAAAGAGCCCACCGCAAAGCCGTAAAGAAACTGCAAGCCTTCAGGATAGTGGATGTCAAGTCTCGCAGAGTTCTTCGGAGGCCCGTCGGCACCATTCATGGTGGCAGCACGAGTGCTGGAGCGGTGGGGCCCACAAAAGACAGCTGCAACGGCAACGGCAAGGATGCGATATGAACCTACTGGGAGGCTTGTAGGTGAAGCAACTTCACATGAGTTGAAGCCCATTCACCCACGCAAACTCCAGATCTGCAATGCGCGTGCTCTCGTCCCCACAGCCCCATCGTTCTAGCAAAGAGGGACTTGGGCGGCCCTGGGATCGAAGAAGAGTGTCTAGGGCTTCGGCCTAGAACACGACATGAAACACCCTGAAGCTGGAAAAGCAAAGTGGGCATTTCTAATGCCCGGTCCGAATTCCTTCGCAAGGCAATGATGAAGATGCAGCATGCAGGTCAGGGAAAGAAATGGTTGAGTGCAGATTTCTCAGCATGGCTGTGCACCCCCCCCGAGTGCCCTCCGGGTGTCCGAACTGCCGAGCCCCAGCTGTCCACAAGAGCAGGCTCCCCAGCCTGAGGGATTCGGGCTGGACATGTGCGCTCGGGACCTGTGGGTTTAGGGTTTAGGGGTTTAGGGTTTAGAATTTAGCGTTGATGCTCGTATCCTCTGTTGCAGAGGCTTCGAGCTCGTTGACTGAAGAGAGCTTTAAACACAAGTCCTGAGCTTCGGGACGGGTCAAAACGGACCAGAGCGGCCGACGACGCTGAGGGTAGGGCTTCAGGGCCTAAGCTCAAAATCCAGAGAAACGGAGACTAAACCCCGAAATCTTTGATGCCAAGCCTCCTTCTTCAAGTCCAAGCCCCCAACAGCACACTTGGGCTTCGGCTGTAGAGGTTGCCTGTGGCCGACACTGCCAGGGAGTGCGCCTGGCGAGAAGCTTTTCTTGGCGGTTCAAGAAGCAACATCTGCTTTACCAGGTCAATACCAGGTCAAGGCTCAAAGTGTGTCACCCCGAACAAAGTCTGGCGAGTTGGGAAATGCCGGTAAAGCCGAAAAGACAGTACCATGCTGAGCATGCCCGACGTAGCTAACAATCGCGTGGACTGTTAACTTCCATGCCATCCCAAGAAGCCTGCAAATCGGAGTACATTGATAGCCCGATTTTAACATTTTCCTGGGCTGGGAGAACCAAGCTCCGAATCCCAGCACTGATCTTAGCCACTCATGTCCCTGAAGGCCCTAACGCCTACATCCTCCACCCTGAAGGCCCCTCGAAGTCCCAACTCCTCTACGAAGCTCCCAGCGGCCATGCAAGCCTCCCCGCAGGCGATGTCGATGATCCTGCTCCGAGTTTTGGGGTCCCTGGCTTTACTTTACTTCAAGGGATTGGGACGGCATTGCCGACTTCCGCCACCAGCTGCTGTATGCTAACTCCGAGGGCCAATGAATTTAGCGTATGCTTCAGAGGCTGTTAGATCATACGCAATTGGGATTTGGGGGCTTTTGGCAGATTAAGGGTACTACAGGAATAGCGGACTAACTCTACCGTCACAGAAGAACGAAACAGAATAATACGCCGACCCACAGTGTTTACTTGACAGTCTCTGTCATATCATCAAAGCTCATAGCCTCCAGCATTCTTCCTGCAAGAATGTGTTTTCTCTATGCGCCATACCATTCTATCATAGTGCCTGTCTCCTTAGAGTGGGACGACTACTCTGTCGATTGAGCCTGGTCTGCATGGTTCGTATGGAGCTGTCGGCTTCTGTCGCAGGTTGTTTTGCAGCGCTTCTTCAAGACGGACGGCCGATGGAGAAGACAAAGGCCGGCAATACATGGTTTCACATCAACTAGGACCATAGCCATAGCCTTTGAGGTTTTAGGGTTTTTTGGGCTTCAGCAAGGATGCAGCCAGATCCCTGCCTGCAGTCGAGGGGAAATGGGCTCATGGGCAGGGCTAGCATGCAGCCATGAAGGCCGCGCGGTTGAGTGGAATGCAGACTCTTGGCTCAGGCTCAATGTCACCGGTCCTGGAGTACTATCCCGAAGAACTGTGGAATGAGGCGGTAATTGCGGTGAGGACGCATCCGGCGAGGCGCCTTTGATCAGCCAATGCCTCGATCGCGGCCGGCGTTGGCAGGTGCCTGGACGAGGCATGGGCCTAAGGACTAAGACTAAGCCTTCCAGTGTTGGTGTGTATCTTCAACGAGGGCCTAGGCAACAATGAGGAATGTTTAAGCAACCTTCTATGGGCAGCTTCTGGACCAAGGAGTTGAAGGAGCTGGCACTGAGGCCGGCACGGAATTCCATCTGGATCTTTCCGTATCCTGGGGTCGTCTGGGTTCATGATGCCCAGCCTCGGCAGGTTGGATTGAAGAAGCTTCGAGCTCGTTGGAGACCAGACACAAATTTACGACAGGCAAGAGCCCTCTGCACCAGACGCGCTTGAAATCGCGATGCTGGAGTGGGACTCTGCGAGCACCGCTCAGCACAAAATCCTCGAAGCCAAAGTCTAATCCCCGTCTCGAACATAGCATACCGAATACTCACAAGAAGAATGAGCACATCAAAAGACAAGGGAACAGCAAGATGAAACGTTGAAGCCGTCAAGCGAAACCTGCGAAACCAATTACCACCACTTTGGAGGCCCGATGTTTGGATTCAGCGGGTCAGAGGGGCTTCTGGGGCTGTGGATGCAGGAGTTTGGCTTCGGAGCAATTGGGGCTGGCGGCTGGCATCACAAGAACAGCATGGCCGTGATCTTGAGCGTTCCTATTGCATTACCCCGCAGCACTCCGTCAGCCCAACGAAGCCACACCGGGAGCCCCCGCTGACCGCAGGAGTTGGCACCCCAGCCTGAGATGACAACGACATCTAAAGGTTTACTGTAGGGTTTCAAGCGACTGCAGGAGTTTCGCTTGACGACCCGGATCTGGCTGCCTGGCTCTCAGCATTCGTGAAGAGGAACAGCCATGGCGTTGAGACTTTGACAGGTCGAGGTAAGGATCGTATGAGCGGACACGATGGTAAGGGCCCCCATTCAAAAAAGTTCAAAACCTGACCAACCAAACTCAGGTGAATTTCTACCCTGCAGGCTGGGGGTTGAAGTTCGCATAAGTGCGTAGAGCAGTGAGCAAAGGGGAGTTGAACCCAAACTACGACATGACAAACACCTATGTGTGCACATATCTATGATGCATACATACCTCCATGGCTCACAAGGCTTTGCTGAGACAGTCTCGTGGCCTGAGAAGGCCACCGACACCTGATTACCTGTGGAATTGCCGATGTTGATGGTGCTGATGATGATGGCGAGCTCTTCTGAAAGATTGCTTAGATGATTCATCTGTGTTTCACCTTGTCACGACCTTCTGTTGCCCTGCTTTCTGTGACGGCTTTTCCGAAACGCCTGTCGCCTAATCAGCGCTTGGGCTTGTGCGATCACCAGTACATCCGAAACTCGACTACCAATGCCGGGGGGCAGTAGAGCCGCCCGTCTCTGTCCACGGTCAGAGAGTGCCTCGCAGACAAGGAAAGCTTGATGTTTGAGAAATATTTAGGGCTTGCGGTTTCGGATTAAGGGTCCGCAGTTCCTCGCGGCGGTGGGATTGGAACGCAGGGTCGAAAGTCTCAAGGGCAGGATACCTGTATCGGAGTTGAATGAGCTCAAAATGCACGATTTCTGGAGGCGTGACCTGAAGAATCACGTGAACGTCCTGCCCACCCGTTGAGAACACTTCCGACACTCCGGTAGAACTCGGACACCGCCCTACGAGTACCTGACACCTCACCGGGCATCCCGGCGAGTCTCCGCACGCCAGACGAACGATGCCCTCGAGGCCAACGATCCGCTGGGGCGTCGGCATGTAGGGACCTTTGAGGCTGTTTTCAAGGCTTCAGAGTCTTCTTTCGACCTAGACGAGGCGGGCAGCAATCCCATGCACAGGCAAGATGGTAAACATACTGAAACACAAGCCAGAGCCAAACAAAGACAAACACCCAAATTACGCCGAAAGGTGCTGTTTGCTGTAGCTGACTTGCAGATCATGACTCTGCGTGTGTTACTAGGCAAGGCATGCCTGAAAATCTTACAATCCGCCGAGGCTGCAGGCTCAGGCGTTTCGGGGGTTCACTTCACTCAGGTACCCTCCACCTGATCCTCTCGCAGACACCCGTTTTTTGCGTCCCTGCCCGTCCGCCCGCACTGCCCCCCCCGCCCCCCCCCTCACCCTGCACTGCCCCGCTGCCCCTCCGCCCCTTGCCCCCCCTATCTGCCACTTATTTCCGCGCCGGTCTCGGCTTGCGAGGTGGGCGGCAGCATTAAAATTACAAGCTGACAGTATGATTTTGCCAGGGAAGTCGATGACAGTACCCTAGCTCATCATCAGATGTTCTTCTCGAGGGAGGCTAGTCGACACAATGCGCAAAATCGCCACTCCTAGTCACGACGACGGGAAGTCAAGATTCCTCTGAGCCTCCTGGTCGACAAGCCCTCTACTCCACTGTCTGAGCCAGGATCCATAAGTTCTGCGCAGGCACAGGCTACATTTAGTGAAGTCAAGCAAACGTCCACAAGCGGCGGACCACAGCCAGGATCTGTATTTACAGCTAGCACTGTGATTAGACAGTCTGCTACTTCATTCGACGTTCCGGACTGTAGCACCGGCTCCTGACAAAACGAGGCGAAAGCATTGGGTTTAGCGGTCTGTTGGTTTTGGTTCTGGTTTCGGGTAACGGGGTTTGGGTTGTGGCGTTTGAGGTTTACGGTTTTGGGGTGTGGCGGTTTACGCCTGATCGCAAAGCTGCGGAATACTGGCAGCATCATGAGGCAGGTACAGTTGTCTGCGTCAACTGGCATCGCCAACACATCCTGCGAATCCGGCGGAGAACAGAGATTCAAAGGTTTTGGGTGTCCACGGATTAAGGGGTGTTGAGTCTGAGGCTCCACGGGGCTTTCCCATCGGTCTCTACGGGTTCTGAGGGGTACACACTCTTAGGCACATGTCGCTTCGTGCACCGAGCTAGGTCCGGAGAACTGGGTTTCCCAAGTAAGTAAGTGCTCTACATTCCTGCTCTGATTCCGTAATCCAGCCAGCAAAGCGTCCAGCTGAGCTCTGGCCTGGTCAACGAACTCGTACACTGAATGTGAAATCTCCAAGCAATCAGAAGAATCAACTGGTTTACGTTGCACTCTCAAGCAACGCGGGGGCAACTGAGGTTTGAGGCTCAGAACCTTAAAGCTTGAAGACTACCCGAACCCCTGCAGCCCCCCCATGCCTCAAACCTTAGACCCACTGTTGGGAGCTAAGACCTAAACCCTAAAACCGTCAATAACCTTCAACCAAGAAAAATCTGCATCCAGGGCGCAGTGAAGAGAGGCGGAACAGTAGCATCTTGTCGAAAAAGGACAGTGTATGACTCTTAGGAAAGCAGGGTCAGGTGTTGCAACTCGTTAAGTTGCAATAGCCTGCTTCCGTGAGAACCCTCCAGGATTATGACTCAGCCAAAACTGCTCGTCATCACTGCAATTACAAAAAGACTTCTTGCACTGACCTGCCGACAAACTTGGCCCGTAAAAACTCCTAGACCACAGAAACCCTAAAAGTCCGGCCATCTAAAAACCCTAAAAACCCTAAAAACCCTAACTCCTGCAACAATCGCAGTCCTTGACGCCGAGCTGTCCGTAGGAGCCGCCTCCGAAGGAGTAGACGCGGCCCTCGTCGGTGAGGGCCAAGGTGTGGACCTGGTCAAGGCTTTACCTTGGGTACGGCCCCATACAGTAACAGTCTATAATAGGGCTACTCTTAAGGGCCTTATATATATATATATATATATCTATATTATGAATATTATCGAACTATTACTGAGTGTGGACCTGGTCAAAGGTTTTACCCTTCAGGTGGGCTCTCATCGACGAGTCTTCACACGGAAAGCTACTATCCCCTAAGCATGTAGAATTATGGGTAAGTCCTAAGTTGCAGCAGGGATACATGCTAAAAATGTTGGACGGTGTGCGCACGACATCATTGGCATTTCCTGCGCGATCTCATGCAGCCTGCGTGCAATTGCACAAGCCTTTCAGGTTGTGGCTGTATAGCGTTGTTTTAGGTGCCGGCACCTTCGACATTATCGTAGAACTTGTATCGCTTGTTGAGCAGGCGACAGGCGACGGGAAATTCTCGAAAATCCGGATGCATCGTTCTCATGCGCGTGCAGATGCCCAAGAAAGCACCTACAACCCTAGGCTCCCTCGGCCGTGGAGAATCTAGATGCAGTTTCGAGTCAGTTTTGAGAGCTCATCTAGGGATCAGGGCTTTAGGATGCTGGAGCTTCTTGCTGTCGAACGCTTTTTGATTACACGAAACATGGCAAGGCCCTCTGCAAAACAATCAAGGAGACAGGATGTGTGCAGGTTTGTGACAGTAGCACCGAAGTGTGTTTGCATGCACCGTGTCATCACGAGAAGCGATAAGACCCAAATCCAAGAAGCTACCCCGCACAATGCATTTGCTCTGGACCAGGTGGCTGTGACTGCCAACCCGAACACTGGGCCTGTACAATCAGCCCCGAGCCTTTACCACAGTAAGAGGACCTTCAGTGCGTTGCGCCCTTATTTTGGGGTCCTTGTAATACGGATCCTACTATTTAAGGTACTATATTCGGGTCCCCTATTAGATGCTATAGAGAGTTTCGGGCACGACTAAAGCAAAGCACTCAACCCCTGGAGCCTTCGACCTCTTCAGGTCGGCACAGACACCCAAAGACTAAGAAACCCTAAACCCCACGTCCCTAAACAATCCACCATGACTAAAAACGCTGAAATCCCCTAGACCCTAATGGCATAAATCTCCAAACACCTCGGAAATCCCCCGACGGCCGAACCCGAAAAATGTGCGTAGAATCTCTCCGTGAACCCCTAGACCTCAAGACCCTGAAAACCCCAACCTGAAGCCCTAAAAATGGCCCAAATCCTACAACCCTGGCATTCCCAAACATCAAACCCTGTCGAACCCTGATGCTAAACCTTACGGAAACCATTAGAGTTAAAAGCCTTTGCAGTAACCCGACTGCCAAGAACCCGGACATCGCCGCAAGCAGTGGCGATGACCTGGGTTTAGGGCTTAGGGTCTTAGAGGTTAGTGGATGGTAAGGGTCGTGGCTCATGGAAGTAGCACCCTCAATCTCCCAAACGTCATCGCCATGCAACCGCAATCCTCTGCCCTACAGTCAAGGCTCAAAGGCAAAGGGTCACGATGACCCTGAGCCGCATAGAAATCCCTGAACCCCAAAGCTGTCTTCTCTAGTTACTCTAGCTTGGGGCTTCACTCTCGACTGTAAGCCAAAGCTCTTGGAAATTTCGGATCAAGGAGATCCCTCCGAGTCACGTCACTACTGCTCGACGGTTCAGGCCTGAAAGTCTTATGTGTCCATGGAATGTAAGTGCAGTAGAGGATCCACAACGATCACCGTCAAGTACATGCACCCGTAGCATATACGTGAGTTTTGGGCAGATACACATGCGACATCAGCCGTCGCCAAAGCAAACCACCGCCAAACCCAGAAGCGCCATGTGTAGAACGTAGACAAGTTTCCAAACACCCGACGCAAACGAGGCTTGGGGCGTCGCCCTAAAGTCCTTCAGATGATCCACTTCCCTCGGAACCTGGACAATCGGAACTGGACAGGGTGGGCCATGGTAGGAGTGTCACAAGCTACACAGCGAGAGCAGCAGCTGTAAGTTGCGAAATGAGGCTGTCAGGAGGGGGTTCAACAGCCCGAGCGAGATAAAGGAAACAAGTAAAAGAAGAAACTGCAGACAAAGAAAGATGCTTTGACAGAAGCGCAGTGACAGCAGTCGCGAGTGGTAGTCGTGCTTGCAGCACTAGTGGCAGTGGTAGTAAGGATGGCAGATGTGGTGCTGATGTTAGTCACGCTGGTCATGGTCTTCGTGAGCGTAGTCGTGTAGCAGTAGCAGCAGCAGTAGCAGTCGCAGTCGCAGTAGTGGTAGTGGTGGTGGTAGTAGTAGTAGTAGTAGTAGTAGTAGTAGTAGCAGGTGCGAGGTGGTGGCGGCGGAGGTGGTGGTGGCGATGGCTGGGGCTCCTATGGCCATGGAGGCTGGAACTCTGCCCCTCCGCATGATCTACGTGGATTGAGATACACGGTGGAGCTCATGCAGCGTCTTCTTGTTCGGCATGAGGACGCCATTAATCTCCTGAAGGTTGAGAGTGCGTTTGTCATGCACATGAAGATGAACGTTCCGTCGTCGGTGGTGCCCATGCTGTATGCGGTGGCAAACTCCTGGAGGCAGATCAAGCAGAAGGAGCCGGATAAGCTCGACAGGCCGATGAGGGCTGCGCTGCTGTATTGCTTGTTCAAGGAGTTTCGGACGCACCTGGAGGAGGTGGTTGATAAGGCAGAGGATCTGGCTAAGATGGAGAAGCTTGGCTGGATATCTACGACCCCTACTCTCACCTGGTCCTTTCTTCGATGGGATGCTGCTGGCAAAAAGCACCAGGTAGATTCCTCCAAGCCGCCACTTTCGCAGCAGGAGGTGCTATCGCATGTGGATGCCATTGCTCGTCTATGCCCTCGTGAGTTTGCGGTTGCTCGCTTCCATCCTACCCGTCCCATGGCGGAGGAGATGAAAGGGGACTCACTGGTCTTCTTGGTGCAGACGGGGCAACATGGTGAGGGACCCGCGGAACTTCGGGATTCACTTCGACTTCTGTGTCATTGTGCTGCTTTTCATCTGCTCACGATGCAACTTAAGGTTGACCGCTTTGCGCGTTCTGCACTTGCCGTGGCGGTCTCGGAGGCTTGATGCTCACCAGATGCCGGGATTTTGTCCTCATTTTGAGCCGTGCCAGCTACAAGCTGTGGCGCGGACCGTTGTGTGGATGCTATGTCGCCATGTCGCCATAGTCATTGTGCAGGGAGCTTCAATGCGGCGGTTTTGGCCATTCCACTGACAAAAATCGAAGTGCTTCCCATTTCACCGCTCTAGTTCCTCATGCGCTTGACTGGTGACTTGACTTGCCGGACGTTGCTACTCAGGACTGGACTATGGCGGCAGTGGGTGCCTGATACCCAAAATGCGTTGCACTCTTACTCGCTCTGCTCTGTCGCTGCTGCACTTGGTCGTGAGCCAATGGCAATTGCCGTATTGTACTGCTTGTTCTTGTTGTCCAGGCTGGGCTCTAGTGGGATTGCATTATGCCCTGTTTGATCCTGTCTTAGTGGCAGTGCTCCTGTTCCTGATGGTCAAGCGCAGACGCTTACTCTGCGCTCAGGGCTCCGATGCAGTTGTTGTGTGTTCCGAGTCGGACGACGATGCGGCCTTGGCCGCACCTGCACAATCTGAGCCGCTACCGCAGGATGTTCCGCAGGCACTGCGAGGTTTGACATATGTCCACAACGGTGACTATTATGCAGGGTCCAGGCCGATCATGGAGTTTGAGCTTGACCTGAAGTTCAAGTTCGCCTCCCAGCACATATACTTGCTCCGCGGTGCGGTTGTGGATGATCTTACGCCTCCTGGCTCCAGCGCTGATGCTCTTGCTCACTCGTTCCTGCTGCATGGCCAAGCTCGATGGTGTCAGCTGCAGCGGCTAGTGTCTTTGCTTCCGCGAGATAAGAACATGCGATGGGCAGTCTCCGAGGCTACGAGCGCGTCCACTCAGGACCCCAAGCGCTTCATCGTTGGTGCTTGGATCCGTGGGCCCATGTCAGGGCTGCATGGTTGGATGTCGCAGTATCCTTGGGTTACGAGGGCATTAACGGCCATTGTGAAGACCTGGAATTCTGAGCATGAGTTTACCACGGTCACGCTTACAATGAACACTGCTGCCCCGCCTCATAAGGATTCGCACAACTTGGAGTCCAGCATGAATCTTGCTTTGCCGTGTTCGGTGTATGAGGGCGGTGAGCTCTTTCTGGGTAACAATGAGGGCAGGATGCAGCTCTCCAGTTCGGGTCCTCGAGGGCACATTTTGTCCACTCAGGAAGCTATACTCTTTCCCCCCAGAGAGATTCATGCCTCACTCCCGTGGCGTGGTGATCGACTGCTGCTGTTGGCTTATCATATCGCCTCTCCTCAGCGATTGTGCAACGAGGATAGGCGCATGGTCAAGGCTGGCTTTATGTCATCGTGGCTGACCAGCTCGGAGCTCTGATGCGTGTAACCAGTGCGACACTACAGCGAAGGGGCGCGGAAAAGCACTTGTTCTTTGCCTGTGTCTGGCGCCTCCTTGATCGATGCTTTCGGTGCTATGCCGACTGAGGTCATGCAAAGTTCGGCTATGGTCTTTCATTCAATCCGCAATGGAGTTCTTCTGAGCATGCTACGGCAGTGAGGGCTTGCTGACTCTGGCAATGTGCCGACGGGGGGCCATTGACTTGGATAGCTCGCTTGTTGACTGATTCTCGAATCTTCTTCATTCCGTGGTCTTTATGGCTACGGTTCACTCACATTTTGGGTTGCAGGGACCTCGGTCCGGACCTCAGAGCATGCTTGGCTCTTCGGAGCGATGCTCGTTATGATGTGTTTATCGGAAGTGTCGAAGACATTGCTGTCTCAGCCGGGCAATATGCCCGCCCAATGGCCCGCTAGGCAGACTCGGACTCTGTCGCGATCGAGAGAGAAAGAGAGCAGCAGCAGCAGCAGCAGCAGCAGCAGCAGCAGCAGCAGCAGCAGCAGGAGGAGGAGGAGGAGGAGGAGGAGGAGGAGGAGTCGTCGTCGTCGTCGTCGTCGTCGTCGTCGTCGTCGTAGTAATTGTGGTTGTGGTGGCGGCAGCCTTACTAAAAAGTCAAGGTCAGTCTTCGCCGAGATATACCGTAGTCGCACAGCTCACGATTAACGTCAGGCTCAGAACCCAATAGCCAGCTAGTGACGAAGTTGTGTAGTATAGGTGAGACAGCTATGCTCTGCAAAACTCCACGAAGCACCAAGCAAGCAGGTGCTCCAGAACTCTAACTGCAACCCCCCGATGCACTTGCCTGTCCTTGGTGTTGGTCTATGTCTATGCTTTCAAGCGACTGGCTGGAAAGGATAGCCGTCTTCGTCCGAGGGGAAGCTGCCTCGCAATGCGAAGATTGAAAGTGTTGAGACGCTGAAGGACTCGGACTGCTGCGACGTCGAGGAGACTGCGCTGCTCAGGGCTTAAACATGCTGAAGCATTCTTAAAGCGGTGTGTTCGATTGCGCGGGCTCGAAACCCGACCCAAACTCTACCACTCCAAGCCACCCTCCCCGACGAACTGATCTGGGCTGACCCATGCCGACCCCTCTCAGTGTCAGGCTGGTGTCAGGGTGACCTAGCTGGCCACAAGCCCCGGCGCCTCGCAAGTGGGGCCCGGCCCGGGTCGTGTTCACAATTTCTGGGGCTGAGGAAAGCCACAATGGACTCATGTATATTCACCCGTTCCGAAACTGTCTAATGTCTCAAGGCTTCATAAGACTGAAAAGGGTTGATTGGAACGTGGCGGATGGTACAGGCATTCAGGCTCTCGTATGACGATGACGTGCCACATGCTATTGAATTGCGATGTCTTATGAACTTCGAGTTCAAACGTGGGGAGTCTCTATCGGGGTGGTACACGGTGTCAAGCCTGCAGAAGCCTTGCCAGCGCTTGGAAGCACGCAGAGCCCTCAAGCCGAAGTTAGTTGGAGTCTTTGCCGGATCCATCAACCAAGGCACTAGCAGATGGCGAACTCTGCATCTCATGACTGCACATCGAAGCCTTTTCCGGGCTTCCGAACCATTACCCTCCGATTTTATAGGTTATAGATTCCTGATAGGCCCGAAGTCCTGAGCGCAAAAAGTGTGCAACTGGAAAGCTCGAACTGAGATTCGGAAGCCGAAGCATTGCGGAATACGCATGCTCCAAACACGCAACAGCACCAGCCCCACCCTCATGTACCTCAAATCCCGAACCCTAACCCAAGAACTCCTCCAGGAAGTGCTTCATGTAGCAAAAGCATTCAACCCCAAGCTCCAAGCTGCAGCCCACATCAGACCCCAACACAGATCACCCGGCCCCAGGTGAATATCCGCCCTTGATCAGAGACAGCGATGGTGTGCGCCTGCCGACGAATGGGGGGGAGTTCGATGTGTGAGGTAGTTTATCGACACCAATGAATCCAATGAATGTACCATGCATGATTATTGTCAATATTGTCGCAGCTACTGGTGCTACTACCACTACCACCACCACTAACACTTCCAGTTCCACTACCACCCCTGCCCTGGCCCTGCCCCTGCCCCTACCCCTACCCCCACCGCTACCCCTAACCTACGACCTACGGCTGCGACGACGACCACCACTGCGACCACTGCGACTGCTACGATCACTACGACCACTACGACGACAACTGCGACTAGGACTGCACCTAGTAACGATTACGCCTACGACGACGACTTCGACTATCAAATGCGAGGGCGGCCACGACTGAGACTGCACGAAATACTGTTGTCGGTACAACTACACAGAATACTACGTTACCTCGACTACGATGACGACGCCGATGACGACGACGACGACGACACCACGACGAGCAGGACGGCGACTACTACTGCTACCGCTGCTGCCACCGCTGCCGTCCCTCCTCCGGCTCCCAATGCCGCTACTGCTGCTCCTCCTCCTCCCACAAAGCTTCCATGCTACAACTTCCAGTTCGGCGTGACAAGGCATGTGCATACACCCACGACCTCCCTTACACTAGAGATCCAGCTTCAGTTTTGTAAAGCCTTGCCGCACGCAATAGTGGAGACCACATGCGGCCGAAGATGCTCGACTACCTGAGCATCGGTGCTTCAGAAAAAGGATCAGGGCTCACCTGGGGCCCCAGGTAAGCCTCCGTGTTCGATGGTTCGAGAGTCAGTTGATCACGGAAAGACCTCAATCAACGCAGCCTGAGCGAACCTGATACCTAGCTGCATTAGCACCTCGGGTACAGGGATGGTATACAGGCATGTACATAGGGCACGCGACGGCCCGCCAGAGTTGTGTCACGTGTAGTAAGCTGAGCGACTGGAAATTACCAACTCGAAGCCTTAGTCCAGGCTTCTGCTTTGCTACTGCTACTACTGCTACTACTGCCACTATTGCTACTACTGCTACTACTGCTACTACTGCTGCTGCTGCTGCGGCTAATGCTCCTGCTCCTGCTACCGCTACTGCTACCGCGACGACGACGACGATGACGACGACGACTACTACTACTACTACTACTACTACTACTACCACTGTTCTTGTTACCGTTGTTACCACTGCAACTGCAGCGATGACGACGGCGACGACGGCTACTGCTACTAACACTGCTACGACGCCTATGACCACGAGTATAACTACTACTGGTTCTTCTTATACTCGTGGTGGTATTCTCAACAACATGGAACGAAACGTCGCATTGCTAAGGCCTGTGCTCTTGGGGTGAGCTGGTAGGGGCAGCCATCCTCATCCTTGGGCCTTGCCCCGAACTTGTGGCAGGTTGAAGGCTTCCAGCTTGCGACTTGAAAGAAGGCAGCTCAGACTCTGGGGAGAGAGGTCTGCAGAGTAGCGTACGCTTACCTCGTGACGAAAGAAGGTCGTGCAGCCTCTTTTCTGCATGTAAGCTGACGCCATGGCCCTTTCAAAATGTGTCGTTATCGTTCTCGCGACTTCCAAATACGACTAAGGCTCATCGCACACCAACATCAGAACTCACAATTTATCGACCTCAATGCTTGCAATAACCGTTCGAACCGAAATCTGTATTCTCTGTGCTAGCCCATTGGGCATTAGCCCCATCAACGATAAGAGGTACAATGGCTGTGTAGCCAGGATTTCGGGCAGACTACCGAATAACACCGCAAATGTCAAAAAAGGCACGCAAGCATCTGCAGTGATTTTCAGATTGAGTGCAACCCAAGCCCCCGACGCCACACATCCTCGACTCCGTTAAAACCCAATACTCAGCGTCCCTGTTTAGGTTACGTCCAATGTCAGAAAGCGGTGCCCCTACAGCCGAAAGCCCGGACCCCTTCGTCTGGACTGCACTTGACTCATTGCCTCTACCGTACAACACTGGAACCCATTGTCAGTGTTCAGCACATCTGACAAGCGCTGAGCAAAAAAAACAACTCAAAGATCTGTAAGCGGGTACAAACCTTCGAGTTGCATGAACACGACATGTTGAAAGCTAAAAGGTCGCTGCAAACCCTTTCGTTCGTCTAAGCAAATGCATCGTAAAGCGTATCTCAGGATTCGGAAGCTTCTTCATGGGCTTCCCAGGCAGAAGCCAGGCTTGGAGCAAAACAACCTGTCAACCCTATATCCCGAGGTAACCCATGCCCCCTAAGTAGTCCACCATGGTTTACACAAGACGATGTTGAGTCTTCGATTCACCTCTTCAGCCAACGGCCAACGCCCTGAACCCGGCGTAACCCTCTGAGCTTCTCGGCATCTTGGAAGTCTCCGAGTGGCCAAGCTGCCCGCAGCCACCGCCGCCCCAACCTCGGCGTGGCGAAGCGTCCCTCGTTCTCTCAATGGGGGGGGGGATTCGCGCACGGTCTGAGACGGCTTGCTATGGTGTGCATTGGACAACAGGGGCCTGATTGTGTACACTATAGATATCAAGATCACAAACGCTTGATGCTGCTCCTGAAATCTCAAAAGGCATCCTAGAGGTATCTGGGCGTTGTGAAGGATGCCGGATGCCCGCAGGTTTGTGCAAAACGTGTTTAGAAGACACATCTGCGCACTCGGACGGTGCATCATAGTGACAGTCTTAACTCCTGGCTCATTCTGAGATTGCATCCAAAGGCTGCTCAAGATGCTTGAATGAATGTGTTGTCAGGAATTTGTCTTTCAAACCTGAACAGTCGAATCACGTAGACATCGAATCGAAACTGAAGACACTCGAAGCCCAAAGCACTGCTGCCCTAACAGTAAACCAGCCGGCAGACTTGTTAAACGCTGGAGTAAGAAGTTCTGTAAGAGGTCTGACAAACTAGGAGGCGCCTGACACCCTCAAGGCTAAAATCGGAAAACTCTCAGAGACTTTGTGTTGGGCGAACGGCTGACGACTTATGGGGTGCAGGATGTCGGTCCAGGGACGCTGCTTGAGTAGCTTTAGCCAAGACCTTTTTGTTTGGGGTGCATTGTAGCTCAGCAGGATCCGGTGAGCCATGGATGAGCGACTGAGATCATCCGAAAGAGCAAGATACGTGGCGAAGCCACAGTTCGACGAGCACCGGGATCCCTGCTGTACAAAGCGCCCTCCCGAGACAGCGCCACGGTGTGTGCATCGCCGCAGGCAATTTGAACTATGCACACGTCCTGCAAGGATGGGATTGGGCTACCGGATTCCACTCGACACCTAGCCTGAACTCCGAAACTCCAGACCCGGAACCCTGAGGCCTCAGGATCAAAGGACCTCTCGCCTCAACCCGGAGGAGTGGCTTTAGGGCTCTGAGGCGGGTGTTTGCCCTGAGGCTTCGGCTTCCAGAGTTCGGCCTTCCCCGAATGCTTCGGACAGAATCTATATGCGACCAGGGTAGTCTTGGGGATCGCGGTGCCACGATGATGGATTGGGTGCTGTTTTAAGCTGCAGCTCCATCACATACTTTTGGCTCCTTGTCATGTCGGGTGTTGCATTTGACACATGTGGCAATGTGCGAAGAACATCACCGGTAGACCAGCCGCAAAACCGATGCAAGGCAATCCTTTCAACCCGGTCCTGCAGGCTGTGAACCAACAAAGGGACCGGCTGGTACGGATATCCTTCGACCTCACAGCCCACTTTAAGGTCCAGTGTCTGCGGTACATTTTATTTATCTTCTGGCTATGAAGGAACTCGCAGGGTTACACGAGGTTCTGGGCGTGGGTGAGCTCTGTGCGTGGGCACGTGGCACCCAGCGGGACCAAGGTAAACTGGGCTTTCGCGGTAATGGTTGCTGAATGCTGACTTCTGCAGGCACCAGATCAGCTCTGTGCTCTGATTCAGCTGATGTCTAGGTGACTCTGACTCATGACCAGCATTCAATTCAATTGAAATCGAAACCCCAGGTTGGAAAACCCGGCTAAGCTGCATGCGTCTTTTGGCATGTGCTCGGTGTCGCCTCATCAAACGCCAGAGCAGCGTCTTTGGCTTGCCAAAAATGCACAGCTGCTGACTTTCACAGGGCTGCAATCGGGCTTTGGGTTGATGGTTTGAGGTTTGTCCAGGCAAGCTACCTCACGCCTCCGAATCTTCACCCGACTAGCAAAGAGCTGTACACCGCTCACTTTTGCAATGCTAAAAACATTTGTCCCCAGGCCCTCTTTTGTCCTACACAGGCGCAGGTTTGTGGTAGCTTAGAGGCACAAAAGGAACTCCTACATCCTGCTGCCTGTTCAAGTTAAGTTAAGCGCAGGCCTGTGGCTCACAGTCGAAACCCACATCTTGCACCCGTATCTTTGGGAGACGGCAAATTCAACCCTACACCCCAAGCCCCAAAGCCCAATCCGAAACCAGGAACCAGGCAAACCTCACAAACCCCGTACCACAAGCCCCACATCCAATGGCCGATTTCAGCACAAGGGGCAATGCCCGAGCTGGCCTGGGCGGATCTGGCAGTTTGGGGTTTTTAGCGCTACAAGGAATCCGGGATTTGGGATCGGACACTTCTGCGGCCTGGGATTTGCTCTGTGAGACTTATGTCATGTCGGTAAGCTGCAGGAAGACAGCAAATCAAGGAATCAAAAACATACAACTCTGAATTAATTGCGAAACATCGGTCCTTTGGCAACCGCCCAGCACAAGAATCTTCTAGTTTAATCGGTTAATGAACGTTGCGCAAGAGTCTACTCGGCACCCCTTGTGATACCCAGACGACACACAAGTACATCAGATTTTGACGTTTCGCCTTACAGCACACCCCAAGCCAGACAGCATTTAGATTGAGATTTGATTGAGAGCACGGATACAATTGAATAGGCATTAACTCTTTCCAAGATCAAACAAATAAGCATTCGATTGCCTCCATAGGCCCACGGCTCCCAATGCCGGGGCCGCAATCTTGTTTGTCAACTGCATGCTGCACATGTGTCATATGTCCCTGGGCGACCTTTTCACAGAATCCCAGGGCCTCCACCAGCTCGCATGGGTCAGTTTTCCGAACTGCTGTGTTGCTCACTGCAAGGGTAGAGCAATATCGCAGATGCCAGGCAGTATTGACGTAGCTCGAGTGAACGCTCCAGTCAAGACGCAAAGCTGTGTAAGACTGTTCAGAATGTTGACGACGAAGTTTCTGGCACCCGGCTAACAAAAGCTTTTGCGGACGCATGTGGCCACTTTGCCTCCGTGGGGCGGGCCGAGTGGGTGCTGGCAATAAGTCTAGCCAGCTTTTGATACCTGCCACAGATACACCTGGTACAAATGAATATGGTCAGGCCAACGGAAATGAGTGTGTCCTACTTGTTGTTCTGTGTGATAGTGGTCCCATGCACCTGGCCGAGCCAACCTTTGCAAGGGTACCGACAGCACGGACAACGAATGACTTGTTTTTGGGGAGAGCTGCAGTGGCAGCGAAATGTCGGTCCCTGCCGTATCAAATGGCCCTCCCGGGCGTAGCAATTCACAATAGGGGGACCCAGTGAGAACAAAGGCAGGGCGAAGGCATCATGATTCTCAGAGCTTTGCAACGATATGTATCGGATTCTTGCGAACATGAGCATCTCCCAACAAGGTCGCATCAGCCCCCGAACAAGCCGCCCATCGACCAGCGAAACGCAGTCCAACGCGTGGCATCCTGATTTAGCTAAAGTTAGACATGATCATCACGCGAAGTCCAAAACATTCCAAAACACTGCTAGTTCTGCGAGTATGTTGGTAATGACAACTTAGTTCGCTGGTCCTGGTGGATCTAATTCTTGAGTTGGGTTGCATTAATGGGGATCCTGGGAAAGTTCGCACATGAATCTGGAACAGAACAAAGTTAAAGCAAAGCTCTCAAGAGAATCCTTCATGTGCGGCCGAAGCCCTACAACCCTGTTCCAGCTTCCGTTTGGTGTGAACACGAAACTGGCTCCGGGGTCAAGGTCCAAGACGCTTCAGTACCATGCCGAACCTGTATCTCTGATAGCCTGAGGAACAGTGGTCCCATCAGCATATCACGAACGCTTCAACCCTCTAAACCCTGAACTCTAAACTACACCCTGGCCACTGAAACGCAGCTCCTACATCAAATTAAATTGGCGATGTATAAACCGCTGAACCCGAAACCGCAAAAGAGTACCAAGGGGCCGCAAGCACTCGCCCCCCAGCTGTACAGCTTGCCGTGGACCGTCACTGCCGCCTGGGAAAATTGGATCTTGGTGTTCGGGTTCGGAGCGCTGGGGTCTCAAAAGGTTTAGGTTTGGGGACAGCAGTTTAGGTTTGCGGCAGGTGGCAAACTCCTTGCGGCTTTGGCGAGTGCGCTTGGGGTTTTTGCTGGGTTTGTGCCTGGAAGTTGTTGTCGGCAGTTGTGGTGTCTAGCCGCCTGGCTCCTCTGGATGGCTTTGGTTGGCGTAGGGATTTAAGTCTAGGGCCATTTAGGATTTGGCCCTGGATACGTGTGTGGAGCTTTCTGGGCTCCTCGTCGGTTTCTTCTTGGGCCTTGGTGGGCGTGGGTGGGCCGCTGACCTGTATCTCTTGAGCTTGCATTGGTGTGGCGGGAGTTGTGAGGGGTGGTAGCGGGGGTTCGGGGAGGGTGGAGGGTGGGCCCAGGCCTTACCCTCTCGCGGTCCGTGGATTGAGAAGTCGTGCAAGTTAGGGAAGCCCGCTACAGGGCTGCGTCTCTGTGCAGCGACAGAGGCAACCCGAAGCTGAGGCAAGCTTCCTGTCTGGGAGAATCGTGACGTTCCAGCATTTCCACCTGCTTTGAGCGTGTACCGAGCATCTCCGAACCCTGCGGCTATCCGATCCGCACGCGAGCTCCACTCACGGAGCAACGATTTTCGAATTTCAGGGCTCGTCGTCTTGATGCGAAGCCCAGATACCAGCCCGGGGCATAGCCACCACCCCCACCGTCAGATCCACGTACCCTGGTCCCGAGTGAAAAATGGCTGACGGCCTGGCAGTGTACGACTCTACCGCCAGACTGCCTGCCCAAGTGTATGTGCGCCAGCTTGCGCAAGTACGTCCTGCTGTACTAGTGACTGTCCGACTTACTGTCGTAGTATCCGCTGTGTACTCACGTTCACCACAAAAAGTGCAGTGCATGACTGCTGCCGTCCCTCTGAATCGTGTCTCCTGCGGCAGGGGCGAGACCAGACCGGGGGGACGATGTCGCAAAATCATGACTGGCTGCCCACCGGCAGTGCAGTTCTGAATGCAGATCACGCTCACTGACTTTGGTAGCAGCATGCATCTCAGAACAGGTGAAGACCGCAAAATCGACGGGGAGATGGACCTGCTTAACCCGATCGCGCTTGCTGCCCGCACACTCCCACCGATTTTGCTTTACTTCCAAAGCTAGGACCCTAACCCGAAAGCCCAAACCTAAACCCCTTGACTCTTAGGACCGGAGTCAGAAACTTTGGCTCATGACATCTCCCGGGGTCCCCGTCTGTGTGGCCATCTCCCCCTGCAATCTGACCTCAGTGGAGGCGTGGCTGCGTGTAGGCACAAAGGAAGCGGGGCAATAGGTAAGCCCTAGGATCTGCAGTTCATGATTTACGGCTAGGGGCTTTAGGGTCAAGGGAAAGCCAGAGACAAAGACGACTTCACCACGAATGCGTGCCTCTGCTTTAAAAAGTCGGCATGGGGTGGCGCAAATTCCAACATACAGGCTGTGACCGAACTTCCCACCTTGAACCGAATCGTCGTGCAGCCTCTGGCCTACACCGTAATGCCTCGATCATAATCATAACAATCGGTCATCTGCCTGCATACACTCGAAAGTTTAGGGTCTCCAAATTTTGAAACCCCTGCTCCTCCGAGCCGGGGACAGACCTTGATTCGCTTGAAAGCCTCTGGCATTGGAATTGGGGTGTCGCGTTCCTTCGATTGTAAGTGTTGGGATTTGGGAGGACGGGGGACTCCTACTTTAGTGCTGCTTGAGCCGCTGTCTGTGGGATTTCCTGACCAGGTATGATGACCAAAAGACTCCGGAAAGCGCTCTGTATCCTCGTGGCGAAACGATGGGACTGCTGAACTAAGTCTGTGATATTCTCTGCTAGGAGTGTTGGTTTGCTGGCATGGCAGTGTTGGGCTTGTGGCATCTCGGGCGGTTGAGAATGAGAAACTGAATTTTACTGACAGCTACTGTATGAGGATGCCGTTGCTCGACATACACGGAACCCCCAACAGTACACAATGGCAAAGAAAAATCCAAAAACCGTCAACTCCTGTCCTTCGAGAAGCACCTAAACAGACTTGCAGATAGCCCTGCAAAGAAGCTTTACCTGCTATGGAAGGACATCTCGAGATGGGCTTTCGGGGCTTTGAGTTTGCGGACTTTCAAGCATTAGATTGCCTAGGAAAGCTCGCCAGCAGGGCAGGGATTCACTTGCAAGGTTCGGGGCGTCAGTTGAAAACCCAAAAAATTCTCAATTACCTGTCTTTTTCTGCAAGCCGGAATGATGATGGCTGCATCTGTACCTTGCCTTTTGCCCGGATCCTCGAGACTGCG